CTGTTTTAATGTAAGGCGGGCTGTATATCTTAAATCGCTTCCCTCACGTTTAAACATGGCATGTGGTTTATCTCTTATGATGAACACAATATCGGCTGGTATTTTGCCAGGCGATTGATCGCCCTCCTTCTGGAAGGTCACTTTTGTGCCCGATTTCCAGCCTGGCTTTATCGATATGCTCACGTATTTATCCTCCTTCTTTGACGTACCATCTGGCTGTTGGACACGCCTTGAGATTTTCATTTTTTTAACACAGCCATGATAGATTTCCTCCAATGTCACGTACAGATCATGTTCCACCGGTGGATCCTGTTGTTTCTCCTTTTTGAAGGGTGTGTGTACGTTGAATGAATGTGATCTAAATGAGGGCCTTCTCTGGATTATTTAAGCATCAGCAGAATATATCATTTTTCATATACAACTTACCTGAACGCACCACCGAGACCGTGACGTGAACCCAAACCACCGAAAGGAGATGAAAAGAAATCATGTTCCGTATCCAAATCGAATACATTCTTATCGAAGAGATTATCATCGAAGAATGAAGCGAATGGATTGCTAGAACCGAAGAACTGTGCGAAAGTGGCCCGGGGATCACCGTGGAACTGATATGTAAATGTATTGTTTGAACCTGTGCCGTTACTTCTGCCTGTAGAGCGAAAAAAAAGTTGAGTGGTTGAGAATTGTAATTCGAGGACGTATATATGAACTAATCTACCTCTAGTTCAGTTCTAATTCAGCTCTAGTCAGTTCTAGTTCTAGTTCTAGTTCAGTTCTACTTCAGTTCTAGTTCAGTTCTAGTTCAGTTCTAGTTCAGTTCTAGTTCAGTTCTAGTTCAGTTCTAGTTCAGTTCTAGTTCAGTTCTAGTTCAGTTCTAGTTCAGTTCTAGTTCAGTTCTAGTTCAGTTCTAGTTCAGTTCTAGTTCAGTTCTAGTTCAGTTCTAGTTCAGTTCTAGTTCAGTTCTAGTACAGTTCTAGTTCAGTTCTAGTTCAGTTCTAGTTCAGTTCTAGTTCAGTTCTAGTTCAGTTCTAGTTCAGTTCTAGTTCAGTTCTAGTTCAGTTCTAGTTCAGTTCTAGTTCAGTTCTAGTTCAGTTCTAGTTCAGTTCTAGTTCAGTTCTAGTTCAGTTCTAGTTCAGTTCTAGTTCAGTTCTAGTTCAGTTCTAGTTCAGTTCTAGTTCAGTTCTAGTTCAGTTCTAGTACAGTTCTAGTTCAGTTCTAGTTCAGTTCTAGTTTTGTTCAGTTCTAGTTCAGTTCTAGTTCAATTCTAGTTCAGTTCTAGTTCAGTTCTAGTTCAGTTCTAGTTCAGTTCTAGTTCAGTTCTAGTTCAGTTCTAGTTCAGTTCTAGTTCAGTTCTAGTTCAGTTCTAGTTCAGTTCTAGTTCAGTTCTAGTTCAGTTCTAGTTCAGTTCTAGTTCACTTCTAGTCAGTTCTAGTTCAGTTCTAGTTCAGTTCTAGTTCAGTTCTAGTTCAGTTCTAGTTCAGTTCTAGTTCAGTTCTAGTTCAGTTCTAGTTCAGTTCTAGTTCAGTTCTAGTTCAGTTCTAGTTCAGTTCTAGTTCAGTTCTAGTTCAGTTCTAGTCAGTTCTAGTTCAGTTCTAGTTAGTTCTAGTTCAGTTCTAGTTCAGTTCTGTTCAGTTCTAGTTCAGTTCTAGTTCAGTTCTAGTTCAGTTCTAGTTCAGTTCTAGTTCAGTTCTAGTTCAGTTCTAGTTCAGTTCTAGTTCAGTTCTAGTTTCAGTTTTCTAGTTCAGTTCTAGTTCAGTTCTAGTTCAGTTTAGTTCAGTTCTAGTTCAGTTCTAGTTCAGTTCTAGTTCAGTTCTAGTTCAGTTCTAGTTCAGTTCTAGTTCAGTCTATTCTAGTTCAGTTCTAGTTCAGTTCTAGTTCATTTCTAGTTCAGTTCTAGTTCAGTTCTAGTTCAGTTCTAGTTCAGTTCTAGTTCAGTTCTAGTTCAGTTCTAGTTCAGTTCTAGTTCAGTTCTAGTTCAGTTCTAGTTCAGTTCTAGTTCAGTTCTAGTTCAGTTCTTCTAGTTCAGTTCTAGTTCAGGTTCTAGTTCAGTTCTAGTTCAGTTCTAGTTCAGTTCTAGTTCAGTTCTAGTTCAGTTCTAGTTCAGTTCTAGTTCAGTTCTAGTTCAGTTCTAGTTCAGTTCTAGTTCAGTTCTAGTTCAGTTCTAGTTCAGTTCTAGTTCAGTTCTAGTTCAGTTCTAGTTCAGTTCTAGTTCAGTTCTAGTTCAGTTCTAGTTCAGTTCTAGTTCAGTTCTAGTTCAGTTCTAGTTCAGTTCTAGTTCAGTTCTAGTTCAGTTCTAGTTCAGTTCTAGTTCAGTTCTAGTTCAGTTCTAGTTCAGTTCTAGTTCAGTTCTAGTTCAGTTCTAGTTCAGTTCTAGTTCAGTTCTAGTTCAGTTCTAGTTCAGTTCTAGTTCAGTTCTAGTTCAGTTCTAGTTCAGTTCTAGTTCAGTTCTAGTTCAGTTCTAGTTCAGTTCTAGTTCAGTTCTAGTTCAGTTCTAGTTCAGTTCTAGTTCAGTTCTAGTTCAGTTCTAGTTCAGTTCTAGTTCAGTTCTAGTTCAGTTCTAGTTCAGTTCTAGTTCAGTTCTAGTTCAGTTCTAGTTCAGTTCTAGTTCAGTTCTAGTTCAGTTCTAGTTCAGTTCTAGTTCAGTTCTAGTTCAGTTCTAGTTCAGTTCTAGTTCAGTTCTAGTTCAGTTCTAGTTCAGTTCTAGTTCAGTTCTAGTTCAGTTCTAGTTCAGTTCTAGTTCAGTTCTAGTTCAGTTCTAGTTCAGTTCTAGTTCAGTTCTAGTTCAGTTCTAGTTCAGTTCTAGTTCAGTTCTAGTTCAGTTCTAGTTCAGTTCTAGTTCAGTTCAGTTCAGTTCTAGTTCAGTTCTAGTTCAGTTCTAGTTCAGTTCTAGTTCAGTTCTAGTTCAGTTCTAGTTCAGTTCTAGTTCAGTTCTAGTTCAGTTCTAGTTCAGTTCTAGTTCAGTTCTAGTTCAGTTCTAGTTCAGTTCTAGTTCAGTTCTAGTTCAGTTCTAGTTCAGTTCTAGTTCAGTTCTAGTTCAGTTCTAGTTCAGTTCTAGTTCAGTTCTAGTTCAGTTCTAGTTCAGTTCTAGTTCAGTTCTAGTTCAGTTCTAGTTCAGTTCTAGTTCAGTTCTAGTTCAGTTCTAGTTCAGTTCTAGTTCTAGTTCAGTTCTAGTTCAGTTCTAGTTCAGTTCTAGTTCAGTTCTAGTTCAGTTCTAGTTCAGTTCTAGTTCAGTTCTAGTTCAGTTCTAGTTCAGTTCTAGTTCAGTTCTAGTTCAGTTCTAGTTCAGTTCTAGTTCAGTTCTAGTTCAGTTCTAGTTCAGTTCTAGTTCAGTTCTAGTTCAGTTCTAGTTCAGTTCTAGTTCAGTTCTAGTTCAGTTCTAGTTCAGTTCTAGTTCAGTTCTAGTTCAGTTCTAGTTCAGTTCTAGTTCAGTTCTAGTTCTGTTCCAGTTCAGTTCTAGTTCAGTTCTAGTTCAGTTCTAGTTCAGTTCTAGTTCTAGTTCTAGTTCAGTTCTAGTTCAGTTCTAGTTCAGTTCTAGTTCAGTTCTAGTTCAGTTCTAGTTCAGTTCTAGTTCAGTTCTAGTTCAGTTCTAGTTCAGTTCTAGTTCAGTTCTAGTTCAGTTCTAGTTCAGTGCCAGTTTACTTCTAGTTCAGTTCTAGATCAGTTCTATTCCATACTCACCTCCATTTTTCAAACCATCTTCGCCATATTTATCATATAATTCCCTTTTATTTTTATCCGATAACACTTCGTAAGCCTCAGCGACCTCTTTGAATTTCTCTTCAGCATTGGCGGCTTTATTCTTATCGGGATGATAACGTAACGCCAGTTTTCTATAGGCCTTTTTGATTTCTTCATCGGTGGCAGTTTTCGGTATACCCAATGTTTTATAAAAATCCTTAGCCATTCTGTATGTGTGTGTGAATTTCTGTATATGTAACTAAAAATGTAATGGACGATGCGGGGGGTGGGCTAATATTTATTTATCCAGGTGGTTCCAAGTAATACTTAAAACTTTAATTAAGAGAAAATAAAACAAGTTAGATTTTAAATTATATTTAATATGTTAAAAAAACTCACCAATTTTCTTAAATTAAATTGTAATTAATTTTGTGATTTTTATTTCCGTTTCCTCTAGTTTAAACTGTTGATTCCTTAATATTATTCAATGTTGTATTGTCCAGCAATAAAAGCATCTTTTTGTAACCAACATTTGACAAGGTCTTTTAATTTAAATTGAGGATTTGTAGAATTTTTATTTTAATTCAGCAGTCTTTACTAAAATTAAACAATAAGGAAATAAATATTTAACTAATTTTTAAGGTCACTTAAAAAAAATAAATAATATTTTGCTTAAAATATTTCAAAACAAAAAAATAAATTTCTATTTGACAATTATATACAAAATAGAAAGAGATTTTCGAATTTAATTTTAAATATAGAGTTGACTTTTTAAGAAGAATGCTCAACTTAAAAAAGGCCAAATTTCCTTTATTTTTCCTTAAATATCTGTTAATCAAGTCCTTTTCTACCATCAATGTCTCTAAAATATATCCCCCTTAAATGACTCATATATGTATTATATTTATAAATCTTTTTTTAACAAATAGCTAATCAATTAAACAATAAATAAACAAATATATTAAGTGTTCGAAGAATCTCACCAACAACGTCATAGTTCGTTTAATTATTTTAATGGTGCATTGAAAATGTTTTCTTCTTTCTTTTTTGCTCTTCTTTTAAGATTGAAAGCATTTTCAATGCCTAAGACTTGTTATAATGAAAATTTGTTGCCACAATGATACAGTGACGTTCATCATTATAATTTTTGTTTTTTTGTCGAAAATATAGATTTATATATTATATACTGCTCTAGACAACCCACGCCAAGTACTAAGAAAACTATATATAATTCTTATGTATTTCATAAAAAAAAATTATAACAACGAAAAACAAAAATATTTTTTTGACAATAAATGTTTTGCTGACGTTTTCTAGTTCATTATTTTTTTCCTGCATTTCATATTATTTAAAAATATGCATATTTTAATAAAATAATTTTGGGATATTTAAATTTGTTATATAAAATAGCAGGTTTAAAAATTTGTTTAACTAACAAAAACAATTAATCAAGTTGATGTATTGATAACAATTAATAACATACGCACTTATGGCCTTAGATTTTCACTAGGAAAATAACTGATCTAGAACGTAACTAGAACTGAACTAGAACTAGAACTGAACTAGAACTGAACTAGAACTGAACTAGAACTGAACTAGAACTCAACTAGAACTGAACTAGAACTGAACTAGAACTGAACTAGAACTGAACTAGAACTGAACTAGAACTGAACTAGAACTGAACTAGAACTGAACTAGAACTGAACTAGAACTGAACTAGAACTGAACTAGAACTGAACTAGAACTGAACTAGAACTGAACTAGAACTGAACTAGAACTGAACTAGAACTGAACTAGAACTGAACTAAACTGAACTAGAACTGAACTAGAACTGAAACTAGAACTGAACTAGAACTGAACTAGAACTGAACTAGAACTGAACTAGAACTGAACTAGAACTGAACTAGAACTGAACTAGACTGAACTAGAACTGAACTAGAACTGAACTAGAACTGAACTAGAACTGAACTAGAACTGAACTAGAACTGAACTAGAACTGAACTAGAACTGAACTAGAACTGAACTAGAACTGAACTAGAAACTGAACTAGAACTGAACTAGAACTGAACTAGAACTGAACTAGAACTGAACTAGAACTGAACTAGAACTGAACTAGAACTGAACTAGAACTGAACTAGAACTGAACTAGAACTGAACTAGAACTGAACTAGAACTGAACTAGAACTGAACTAGAACTGAAACTAGAACTGAACTAGAACTGAACTAGAACTGAACTAGAACTGAACTAGAACTGAACTAGAACTGAACTAGAACTGAACTAGAACTGAACTAGAACTGAACTAGAACTGAACTAGAACTGAACTAGAACTGAACTAGAACTGAACTAGAACTGAACTAGAACTGAACTAGAACTGAACTAGAACTGAACTAGAACTGAACTAGAACTGAACTAGAACTGAACTAGAACTGAACTAGAACTGAACTAGAACTGAACTAGAACTGAACTAGAACTGAACTAGAACTGAACTAGAACTGAACTAGAACTGAACTAGAACTGAACTAGAACTGAACTAGAACTGAACTAGAACTGAACTAGAACTGAACTAGAACTGAACTAGAACTGAACTAGAACTGAACTAGAACTGAACTAGAACTGAACTAGAACTGAACTAGAACTGAACTAGAACTGAACTAGAACTGAACTAGAACTGAACTAGAACTGAACTAGAACTGAACTGAACTGAACTAGTACTGAACTAGAACTGAACTAGAACTGAACTAGAACTGAACTAGAACTGAACTAGAACTGAACTAGAACTGAACTAGACTGAGATACTGGAACTAGAACTGAACTAGAACTGAACTAGACTGAACTAGAACTGAACTAGAACTGAACTTAGAACTGAACTAGAACTGAACTAGAACTGACTAGAACTGAACTAGAACTGACTAGAACTGAACTAGAACTGACTAGAACTGAACTAGAACTGAGACTAGAACTGACTAGAACTGAACTAGAACTGAACTAGAACTGAACTAGAACTGAACTAGAACTGAACTAGAACTGAACTTAGACTGAACTAGAACTGAACTAGAACTGAACTAGAACTGAAACTAGAACTGAACTAGAACTGAACTAGAACGAACTAGAACTGAACTAGAACTGACTAGAACTGAACTAGAACTGAACTAGAACTGAACTAGAACTGAACTAGAACTGAACTAGAACTGAACTAGAACTGAACTAGAACTGACTAGAACTGAACTAGAAACTGAACTAGATACTGAACTAGAACTAGAACTGAACTAGAACTGAACTAGAACTGAACTAGAACTGAACTAGAACTTAACTAGAACTGAACTAGAACTGAACTAGAACTGAACTAGAACTTGAACTAGAACTGAACTAGAACTGAACTAGAACTGAACTAGAACTAAACTAGAACTGATCTAGAACTGAACTAGAACTGAACTAGAACTGAACTGACTAGAACTGAATAGAACTGAACTAGAACTGAACTAGAACTGAACTGAACTAGAACTGAACTAGAACTGAACTAGAACTGAACTAGAACTGAACTAGAACTGAACTAGAACTGAACTAGAACTGAACTAGAACTGACTAGAACTGAACTAGAACTGAGCTAGAACTGAACTAACGAACTAGAACTGAACTAGAACTGAACTAGAACTGAACTAGAACTGAACTAGAACTGAACTAGAACTGAACTAGAACTGAACTAGAACTGAACTAGAACTGAACTAGAACTGAACTAGAACTGAACTAGAACTGAACTAGAACTGAAGCAGACAGACTAGAACTCAAGTAGAACTCAAGTAGAACTGAACTATAACTAAACTAGAACTGAACTATAACTGAACTGGAATTGAAGTAGAACTGAAGTAGAACTGAAGTAGAACTGAAGTAAAACTGAACTAGAATTGAGCTAGAATTGAACTAGAATTGAACTAGAACTGAACTAGAACTGATTTATGACTAAAGGAGAGCTGAACTAGAATTGAACTAGAGCTGAACTAAAATTGAACTAGAACTGAACTAGAACAGAATCAGAACAGAATTAGGACTGAATGTTGCAGAATTTATGTTTACATTTTTAATCTTTGTTCCCTTAGTTCTTGGTGCCGACAACTTCACACAGCTCCTACGTAACTCCAACTTTGTTATTTTACTAGTTTGACAATATTGCTCAAACTTTTATAATTTAATTATTGCAAAAATAAGTTGTATATAGTTTTTTTATGAATTTTAACCTTTTATTGCTGTTTGGATTTTTTTGTATTTATATAGAAATGTTTACACAAATTTTCATAATATTTGTCAGATGTCACGAATTGACAATATGCCATTATAATAATGATTAATGTCAAGTACTCGAATACGTGTAGATTTAATTAATTACTTATTTATCATAAAGCCATGCACCATAGACAAATAAGCCAAAGACTTTTTGCAAAAAAATGGGGGCTGGGTAAATAATAATATAAAAGGGATTAAAATAGTTTAACAAATGCAAATTTATAATATCAAATGACACCATGCTACAGCGACCAAAGAAGCAAACACCAAATAACTGCGGATTGGACCAACAGAGTGTGTCATTGGATTGTTATGAATAAGATCATCTGTCAAGAATAATAATTACATTTTTGTGGTATTTATTGTATACTTTGTAGCACTGTGTTTTTTAAACCACATTATTATAAATCAACTTTAAATATTCCAATATTATAACAAAATAAATATTTAGAATAAACAATTAAATGTAATTTTTTATTCACAGAGTAAATCATTGAATACATATGCACATACGTAAACATACATACATATATATATGTCTTGTCTACACTTAAATAAAATTCTATCTTTCAATTCGAAACAATTACTTAAAGATTATAATCTTTTTGACATTTTCTGTCAATTGTCACAAGTAAAACATATGTATTTCAGAAGTAAAACTTTTCAAAAGAAAATTTTTATTTAATTAAAACTTTTTCACTTTAATTTATTTATTTGCCTGAGTGTCTACCAAAATAATATTGAATACTGTCATTCTCTTAAACCCAACGCTTTTGTAGGAGTCTGGTCTATATAAATATGTACATATTCATTTGTAAAGGGTTAACAGCTTTTCTTAAATTTTTTTTTGTTTTCGTTGTTGTGTTGTTATGCTGTCGCGTAGTTCTTTTTTTATTTTTTAAACAATTTTTTTTTATCATTTAATGAGATCACTGCTACTTAATTAAATAAAGATTTTTTGTATCTGTAGTTGCTCTGTCAAATTCATGCTGCTCGCGTATCATCCATCCATTCATTCGGTGTTGCATATTCAAATAAACACTTTTATTTTCATTCAGATTTATTGGCTCATTCTCTCTTTGGGTCGATACGATGGGCATGTGGTAGCTTTAGTAATCATATGAAAATATGTTAACCCTAAACGGCACATAATGATAATTTATATACTGGACTGTAGAATAGACTATAGACTAGACTACAGACTAGGCTATAGACTATACTATAGACTAGACTATAGACTAAACTATAGACTAAACTATAGACTAAACTATAGACTAGACTGTATACCAGACTATAGACTAGACTATAGACTA